CGATTTTGATTCAAGTTTTAATCTGTCATATATATTGCATGATATAGACTGAAGCAGTGCAATAACACCTTACAAATTTGTCAACAGATAATTTAGTAAAAATATCTATCAATAAAAGTGCGTTTTTTACAAATCTAAAAGATAAGACTGAAAAATATAGTTTACAGCAGATAATAAGAGTTTAAAGTTTTAATAAAATGTAAAAACAAATTTATAAAACAAACTGAAATAGATTCTTATTTTACTATTACTTTTTCTTACTTTATTATGCCTGGTATAAACAAATAAAACAAATTATTCAAAAACTAGAAAACGATTAATTTGAAATTTTAACTAAATACTTTTCTATTTTCAAAATCTTATTTATTCACTGTAAACAAATATAACAAATCTAAAACAAAAGTTACAGCGCTTAAATTTTTTCAAGAAAGAAAGTAACAGCTGAAAAATGTTTGACCTAATGATTGGATTTTTAGTACTAACATAAAGTGTTAATAACTTTAGAATTATTAACATTATTAAGGATCTAAATTATTCTAAGAAATTTGTATAGACGATATTTAAACAGAAAATTCAGTCACGAAAACGTTTTTAAATAATCTTTCTATCTTAACACTCAAGGAGGACATCTCTTAAATTTGATCTCAATAGAAAGCAGTTGAATGTTTGGTTCTTTAATGTTAATTTTACTTTTTGCGTATGCCCTTTTTGAACTTGATGCACTTTACTTAATAAGTAGGTTTGCATAAAAAATCACGCCTTAACTGATGTTTCTTTCTTTAAAGATTGCATAAATTATATTTATTTAATAAAGAATCTAATATAAAAATATACATGAAACAAAACATACCACCAGCTCAGATCTAGATTTTACTAATGGTCTTCCTGCAGCCAGATTAGGAAGAAATTTTTTTTCCAGCCCAAACTAAAGAAAAGAAAGAATAAATTTGAATATGAATTTTTATTTCTTTCATTTACCAAACTATGATAACTTAACACGTTAATAAACTGAGTACCTTGATAATTTTATGTTTTACAATTCATTCTTAGCAAATCAAATTATCAATTTCAATAAGGTAAAAACTTCCAAACTTAGCACTTGATCTTGCACTATTGCTTAAATTGCTTAGAATTTGATTTATACTGCCATTACTAACTTACTTCTCACTTTAAATTAATCTAAAACAAATGTTAATGTTAAGGAATTAATTATTGTTATTTATAACTTGATACAGATACGAACTATGAAAATAAGATATTACACATTAATTTATTTTTTTAAAAATTTGTTACTTATAAGTAATAAAACAGTAAATAAATAAGAATATCAGTCAATAAAAATAATCAATCTTCCAAAATTTTTAAAAAATAAAAAAAAAATTTCACATTAAAAAATTTTGCTAAAAATAAAAATTACCTTTCATTACGTCATCTTGTTTTAAATTATCTTCTGAATTCACAATTATTTTATGACTCATAGGTAAGAAGCTTTTCATGAGTATCATTCCATGCAGTTGGCACTTTTGAATTATTCCCTGAAAATTAATAAATTTCAAAATGGTAAGAAATTTATCAAGCTGTCCTTAAAAAAACGAATCCCATTTAACAATAAGTAAAATAAATCAAAATTACTTTCTTTAAAATTAAAACTACAAACATTATTTCCAAAAAAATGAAAAGTTTCCAGATTAACTCAAATTAAATTGCATTTATAAAGTTAAGAGATGATATCTTACTTAAAATAGTTGATCCAAGGTCAGAAAAAAAATTTCTACAGAAGCAGCACACAATTTTTTTTTTAGAAAGAAAGAAAATTGTCATATTAAATTAACTAACTTTTGAACTTTACAAAGACAATTTTATAGAATTCAACTGATATGGCGCAGATACAGAAGAAGCTACTTCAAAAATATCCTTTTTAGTCTTATAAAATGTCATGCAATATTGTTTTAGACTTTATCTGTCTTTCAAACTATTTTCCTAAGAAGAAATAATTCTTAAGCAAAAATTACAAAATATAAACCATTTTTCAAAAAAAGCTGTTTAATATTTTATACAGCTACTATTTAACGAACTTCCACTTTGCGGGAAATTTCTTCGTAAAATAACTTTCAAATAGCGAAGTAAAATTTCTAATTAACGTTTTTTTCGTTGAGATCCACTTTTCCTATTTCCCAAAATATTTCAAACTTGTGGATGCATGTTATGGGGGAAATGACTTTATATTGATTTTCGAAGCCACTTTTAGTGAAAGCAGTTAAAATCCTTTTTTGTTTGTATTTCAAACGAAAAACTCAGAAAAAATGAATAGATTTTAAGTGTAGCAAATAAACTTAGGAGCGCATGTGGAAATGTATGTTTAAAATTACTTTAATAATAAATGTAGCTATAATTTTTTACATAAATTTAGTTTTTTTAGTTGAAAATGTTTGTAATGGTAGTGTAACACTGAATAATGTTTTGCTCTATTCTTGGTTTCCATACAGATTTCTTTTAGGGTTAAGATTTATAAAATAAGAAGTAAATACTAGTTTACAAGATAAAGGTGTGTCAATTGCGACTTTTAATTATGTCTAGGGTTTATGAATTTAAAACCTGCTTTGTGTTGTTTAAGTATTTAAAAAGGTGTTTTCTTTTTAACGAATTTTCCATATATTGAATTTATTACCGGGATTTAGTGCCATCCCTAAATAATGGTCGACTGTATATATATAACTTAACAAAATATGCAATATATCAAAACTTTATTAATTAGAGCACCCAAAGAATTGACAAAGAGCTGCTAGCCATTTAGATTGATAATTCTTTGTCACTTTAGTCTTAAGCAATAATCTTCAAATTTTTCTTTATACTTGAAAGTTTTCTGCTTAGAGAGAAATAAATTTAAAGAAATACTGATCTTACAGAGCACATCCTGAAAAATGTTTTTAAGGAAAATAGTGAACTACAAAAAAAATTTACTTATCAGTGCAAAATGTTATTTCAGACGGTATTTACAGTGGTAATTCTCAATCTTTTTAATAAAAAAATATTTAAATAGTTATTTTTCACAAAGCAAACTACATGGAATGGAAAAACAAAACAATAAATTGAACAAAAAATAATTTTGAATTAAAAAGAAAATAGCCTCAAATTGTTTGAGCTATTTCTCCCTTTACAACAAAACATTTTGAAATTACTAACATTGTTTTATGAATATCTAAAAAAATGATGGAATTGCACTTTCAGGAAAAGCGATGGAGAAATGGCATTCAGAAAATTTCTAGGTAAGGAATAATTTGTGTAAAAATACCAAATTCAACAAATCAAAACATTTTGAATTTGGTCGCTTTCCAATAAAGGAAGCAATAAGTTCCAAGGTCTCCTAATATAATTTTAAAAACTATACAGCCATAAACAGCACTTAAGTATAAATTTAGATACATAATGTTAAAACAATTATGCAAGGATTATGTAGTTAAAAAATAAATTATGCTTTTAAAAATTTTCAATTTGGGAGTGGTACTGAACTCACATGCATTTTCTCGACTAACTTAAATCTAATCTAAATCTCTAAATCTTTGAACAAGAAAAAAGAAATATGTTCTCTAGTTAGCACGTATTTTTTTATCATGAACTGATATATCAATCCATAAACTATTAAACAATTACTTTTTTTTAAAATTAAAAATCATAAATAATTTAATCCATAATTTTTGTAATTTAAAATTTAAGTTGCTTGAAAGTCCATGCACATAGCATGTAATTCAAAATAAATGTCATTCTTAAAATTAGCCACAAGTATCGTAAAAGGAAGAAAAAAATTCAATATGAAATTATATATAATTATATAAATAATAATAGTTATTATTATAACTACATATTTATAAAAACTTTATATTTTCATCAGGAAGTTTTTGTATTTCATGACCATCGTTGAATAGCCGACCCAATTTTTGGGTTTATGACTACTAGCAACTAGGTTTATGACTACTACGTTCAACTCCGTAGCCGCTAGTAGAATTCGAATCAATCAGTCAACACTAGGACCGAACCTAGCTCACCTCATTGAGAGGCGAGCGCTCTATCCCCTAAGCCAGTGGTGCGCAAACCTTTTTCGACTGCGACCCCTTTTGTAGAGAGAAAATTTTCGGCGACCCCTAGAGATAAATGTTCACAAATACGATGTATATTTCACGCATTTCTTTCGTTTCATCGAATAAAAACATCATCATATTTAATTCATATTAATTTTTATTTATAATTTTAAGAAAATACTATTTGTATAACTCAAAAATCAGTAATTGCCCTTTAATGTGGCTGCATGTATGTGGCTGCAAGTTTCTAATTATCTCATCGATGTTTGGATGTATGTTACTAATTGCAATTCGCATACCATCTTCAGGGTTTAAACGCGAGCGGTATTTAGTTTTTATTGAAACTAGTTTGCTAAATCCAGCTTCACATAAATACATTGATGCAAATTGTATTAACACTCTGATGACATTCTTGCATAAAACGGGATATTGTTTTTCCACGGATAGCCAGATAGAGAATACGTTACGCATTACGGTCAAAGAAAGAGTGGACAGCATGAAATTGCAATTAAACAGTTAGTGGCGGCGCTTCACTCTTTATATTTACACTGTATAGTATGCAGCATGCAGGGATAATGCATTTCATAAAAATTTGGCGACCCCCAAAAAACTTCTGGCGACCCCCACAGGGGTCGCGACCCCTGGTTTGCGCACCACTGCCCTAAGCCACCATTTCATAAAGAATTGGTAGGAATTGGCTTGGTGATAATTGGTGTTTTTAAAAATCAGAGTTATGTTCAAAACACTTATTGTAGTTGTAGGCCATTAGGGTGTGATTGCATTTGTTTTCCAGTGGCACTGTCTATGACCAAGAATTTGACTTCTGTCACACCCAGACCCAGTTTTTACGAACACGAGTCCTGCACACTGATAACCAGACTATCCCTTTAAGACACTTGCTTTTTACATTAAACAAAACACTTATTTTAAGCATGTTTTTTAAAACATTCTCTGTTAATGTCCAAAATTTAACATAGAAAATTCTAAGTCAGAGAATCAACTTTATCTTTAGTATAAAAATCATGTTGCAACTTGGTTGCTTAGAGCGACTAAAACTAAATTGGCAATTTAATTAGCTTATCAAAAAGATATTGATAAAAAAAGTGTTTTTAGCAAAGTCACGTGCAGTTTAACGCTCGCTTGCAGAATTTAAAAAAAAATTCCAGCAAGGTTTTCTTGTAGAAAGAAAAATAAGACTATTTTTGGGGTTGCTAAAGCAACAAAATTTTTAACAATATTCAAAGCTCTTACGAAATAATAAATTTTTATGTTCCTAAACTAAATGGGCTTTAAAATAAAATTTTCTACACTCTTAATAAGGAAACAATTTTAATACATACATAAAAAATAAAATATGTATAAATATTCCTTGCATTAAAAAAGTGTTTCATGCAAAACATTTTTTCTACTATCATTTCATTACATAGAATGGGGAACATAAAATTTTTTTTAATGTTAATTAATATAAAATGGATAAATCAGCTAAGACATTTTTAAACCTCACTATGTTTTGTTATAAAATAATTTATTACCTCTTTGGAAATATGGAAAACTATTTTTTCAATAACATCAACAAACACTTCAGTCTTCAGGTTCTATAAAGGAAAAATTCAGCTAAATTTATCTTTTTGGTGCAAGGAAAAAAACTAAATAAATAAACAAGAAATGCTTTTAAATAACTCTGTGATATAGCATGCATTTTCCTCAATACTTCATTTTGCTAGTTTCTGCCTTCTTTAATTTTTACTTAAAAAATGATTAAGTTTTACATGAAATTAGTTGTTTTTTATTTGAAACAGTTAACACATTAAAATGTTTTAGTCAAACTGCATTTAACAATAATATAACTTTTCCACTATCTAAAAATAATAATAATAATAATAAATGCTAAAACTATTTTAAGAGTTCAAGTAACAGATCAGTTTATTTAAAAAAAAGGGAAAGTTAAGCATTGTTACAATAAAAACAAAATACAAGGAATATTATAGTGAACTAATATTACCGAAAATTATAATTTTAGAGCTTTTTGAATTTTTTTTTAACTAAAGAGGAATAATCTTTAAAAAGAAGTTCTCAGAACAATAAATCGATTTCAAAGAGTAATGCACTTGAAATTTTTATTATTCAATAATTACACATCCTACCGCTTTGAAGGGTAAAAAAAATTTATAACGCGTAGCTAATAAAATTTTGGTAAAGGAATTTTAATCCACAATCCAAAAAGCAATTTTAATTCAAGTTTTAATTTGTCCTATGCATTGCATAATTTAGAGTAAAACATTGCAATAAAGCCTTAAAAATTCGTGACTAGAAAATTTAAAAAAAATGTGTAACAATATCTTTCAATTAGTGTTCAACAAATTTAAAAAATAAGAAAGAAAAATATAGTTTACTGCAGAAAATAAGAACTCAAAACTTTTAATAAAAAGCAAAAACGAACTTATAAAACAAACTGAAATAGAACTTTAAAATATTTTCTTATTCTACTCTGCATGGTATAGCTAATAAAATATTTTGCATCCTTTAATTTAATAAAGCAAACTAATTACAAACTAATAAACAACAACTTGGCCAACCTGAAGATGATTGACGTGCTTTCTTTTCAAACATAAAATCCTTACATAGAAAATATAATAGAATGAAAATCAGGAACAAAACTTTCCACTCCAATTTTTGTAAATCGGTTTTAAATAAAATCTAAATAATAATCAATAATCATCCTAACTAATATAAAATTTTTCTTCCAAAACTACACTAAATTATAAAAACGTTATTTATCGTAATATAAAACGTAATAAAACGTAAATAAAACGTAAATTATCAATACGTGGACCTAAGCTAATTAACTGTGAGCAGCATTTTCTTAAAGTAATTTAATACTATACCTTTGTCCACTTTTAGGTTGTGAAAAATATTTACATTATTGCATGATTAAGGTTAAAAGAAATTTTAAGCTGCATCCACTGCGAATTTTGCAAACAAAATTAAAATAAATTTTAGAAAATCTCAAGACAGACAAATAAACAGTAAAAAAATAACAAATATAAATAAAATACCATTATTAATCAGACAGAATTAAACAGACCAAATATCTCAAGACAAACAGTATTAAATAAACTGTAAAAAAATAACAAATATAAAGAAATTAAAGTATAAAATTACAGTATTAAACAGTAATTTAGTACTACACTTTCTTTTTATTAAATAACTGTCCCAATTTTCGGGTTTAAGACTACTAATGTTCAACTCCTTAGCCNAATATAAAGAAATTAAAGTATAAAATTACAGTATTAAACAGTAATTTAGTACTACACTTTCTTTTTTTTTTAAATAACTGTCCCAATTTTCGGGTTTAAGACTACTAATGTTCAACTCCTTAGCCTTGTAATTTTGAACCCAATCCAGAAGACAAGGGAAGTCCTGGATAATGTACTGGGAGAAACTTGATTTCGTGGAGGACTTTTTGATGGAGCTAACCAGCATTTGTGTTGCATGGAGAGGAAGACCTCTCACAGTTAGTCAATACTGCCTTATTACTTCCGCTTCGTAACTCAATTTCAAATTTTATAAGAAATATTAAACATTCTTTAGGGAGCTAATTATTTTATATTTAAATTTAAAGCACTTACTTATCAGTCAACATAAACTGCTGTTTGTAGAAAGGATGTATGTTACTAATTGCAATNTACTTATCAGTCAACATAGTTTATTTTAGAATTTATTGTAAGAAAATTAAAATATATGAAATGTTTTAGTCCTGAATTTAACTAGTACCAATAACTACATAGTTTATTTTGATTTCAAAATTATTTTTCATTTTTTCTCAACTTTAAGTGACATTTAAAACTGTCTGAACTACCTAAACTATTGTAAACCAAAGAATTTCTTAACGCATTTTTACTCAATTAATATGCCAACTTTACAGGAAAACAAAATGTTTGCCTATATTGTTAGGCAACAAATGAAACAAAAATGTATGTCATAAATTTTCCACTGAGTGATGCATTTTAACATTTAGAAACTGATGCGTGAAAGAAATTTTTTTTAGAAATTTATAGCTCAATAAAACCAATGATCTTCTGAATCAGAAAAATTTTTTGAAATGCATATATTACTGTTAGTCACCGAAATGAGGAAAATGTCATCTTTCACCGGTGAATAACAACCTACCTTAGTGGTAGACAGATCCCCTTGCCGAAAGGCTAACCGTGGAAGGTTCTCGTGGTCTTCCTCTCCATGTAATGCAAATGCGGGTGAGTTCCATTTTCCCCCCAGTTCTAGATACAGGAGCTCCCTTGTCTTCTGTATTGGATTAAAAAATTACAAGGTTACGCAGTTGGACGTTAGTCCAAAAATCAAGTCGGCTGCTCAACGACGGTTATAAACTAAAAAGGAAATGTAGTTAACTGCAACTGCTTCTTTTACTAACTATTTTCGAAATGTAGTTGTTACCATAAATGAAAAATCGTCAAAATCAAGTTGTTACCGTCGAAATGATGAGAATGTCAACTTTCACCGGTGAATGTCAACAATCACTTAGTCACATTGGTGAATGGCCGAAATATTACTTACATCCTATTTTATATTTATTCTTTGATATTATTATATTTATACGATATTTTAACATCTTTTGAAGATAGATTAGGAGAAACATCAGTGTTCGAAATATCGGTAAAATACATATCGAACAGTGACACTTCGGAGTACCGGTAAAATATATATCGAACCTTAAGAAAACTTCAATATAGGGTATATCGGGTAAACATTGAAACTTAAAATAAAACATTGATGTAGGATATAAAGCGGACAAATGTAGGCCGGGTAGTATCATTTAACAAGATAGACTAGGTGATTGACAACATTCACCAGTTTAAGTCCACCAATCTCTGTCATTCACAGTAAGACATACATTGTTATGAGTTTAAACCGACATTGTCTGAAGTCTTAAATGAAAACTGTTTTAAACTAAAATATAATTTTTATCTGTACAGGTGTCATAATTCATGACAATAGGTCCAGGAAATCTGTGGAGCCCCCAACATATTCCATGCATTTTATCTTCAAAGTAAGTGCACACTTTGTGCGAGAAAATTCAATAATATTAATAAAACATTGCAAGTTCGAATTGTTTTGGAATTTGATCTGATCAGATAATGTATTAATCTAGGGGGACCATAATTTCAAGATTCACAGTGACAACTCCCCAGTTTCATTATTTTTTTTTTAAAAGGCGTTAACAACCTTGGCATTGACCAAAAAGGAACAAGTGAGGAAAGTTTTGAATCGTGAGAAAAGGAGGAAGAACTACGAAATATTAGTTTATTGTTTTGATTTCTACGGATATTTACTAAATTTTGTTTCAAACTTTTGTATGTGAGGCCCCGGTTTGTAGACTCAAACGATTGTTAACTCAGAATTTCATGCACGTGCATTAGGCTAAATGTGAAATTCCCTATATTTATTGAAATAGCACGCACAACGTAGCCTCCAACTTAGTTATTAAATAAAATTCTAAATAAGTATTTTATTTTTTAAATAATAATATTTTAAATATTATATTCATAATGTCAAAAATAAAATGAATTACGACAAAATACGTTTTAAAATTATACTGAATATTTAAAATGCTTCATTTTTGTTGTTGTTGTTGTTGTTCTAAAGGGCAGGGAGTCAAACGGCCCCACTTTTAAGGAAGGCTTTGGCTGGGGCCCAGGGTGCTTTTTCAGGTCTATGGCGAGTCCGAATGACTTTATAACCGTCATTAAGCAGCCAACCTAATTTAGCGTCTACGGCTACTAATGTTCAACACCGTAGCTTTTTAATTTTGAACCCAACCCAGAAGACCATGAGACTCCTGTATCAAGTATTTTGAGAAAATTTGCCTTCGTGGAGGACTTTTTGATGTAATTAATCCACATTTGCGTTACATGGAAAGGAGAACCGTGAAAACCTTCCACGGTTTGCTTGACAGCAGGAAACTGTAACCTATGATCCATCTACCACTGAGGATATTTTCCCTCAGCCCTGAGGTTTGTGCGTGCCGGCTGAGCAGAATTCGAATCGACCAGTTATCACTGGGATCGAACCAGAGTAACTTCATTGGAAGCGAGCGTTCTATCCCCTGAGCCACCATGGCTCAGTCCGGATGATTCAACCAGTTGAAAGGGAAAAGGAGGTTAAGTTCTGGATCATAAATGGCTTAAAACTAGTTTTAACTTTTTGTCATAATAGAATTCGCTTATTTTTGTGAGCGCAGGTACAGTGACCAAAGAAAAAGAGCGCCACTCTTAATAACGTTTGATCTAATCATCGGATTTTTACTTACTCAATTTTAATGGTTTGTGGGGGAACTAATTAGTGCAGAAGATATTCTATATTAGGAAATCAGAAAAGAGACAAAAAAAGTACTTTTTCTGAATAAACAACGGAATCGGATATCTATTTCCCAAAATATAGGGATTAGCCGCAATCTGGAAAAAAATTTGTCCTGATAGTTTGGCTAAGAGAACGGTACACAGTTTGAAGCAATTATTAATTTACTTTAAGCATATTTTGCAGTGTCTAGAGAAATTTTTAAGTAAATTGAAAAAAAATTTCACACGATAATAAAATTCTTTTGTCTAAAGATACAAAAAAATAAATTTTAGTAAATATTTATTATTTCTTATTTTGGTTATTAATAGTCAAAAAATTTTAAATTGTAAGGTATAATTTTTTTACATCATTATAAAGAATGCAATTTCACATATCAAAAGGCAAAATTTGAGAGAAGTAGTAGAATAGTTCCTGAAAAAGCGAGTTTTAAAAATACAACTATTTTAAAATTCTATTTCTCAAGAACTAGTTGAACGATTTCACTTAAATGTCATATTTTGCTTTGTAAAATTACATTCTTTAAAAAGATGTAAAAAATTTTATACCTTACAAATCGAAATTATTTCGACTATTATTAAATAATACCGCTTTCGTGATCAAACTATTGGGACCATATTTCTCGCCTACCAATGAGTTGAACAGGGTTCGAATCCCAGCGATGGCTGGTCGATTCCGCATTAGTCTTGAACTTGAGCTGACTACAGTGCTGACGTAAAATATCCTCTGTGGTAGATGGATCACGGGAGCCCTTGCCGTTAGGCTTACCGTGGGAGGTTTTCATGGTTTTCCTCTCCATGTAATGCAAATGCGGGTTAGTTCCATCAAAAAATCCTCCACTAAGGCAAATTTCTTCCAATACTTGATCCAGAAGCTCCTTTGTCTTCTGGATTGGGTTCAAAATTAAAAAGCTAGGGAGTTTATAAAATAAAATTATGTTTTTTCCCAAAATTATTCCTCTTAGATTTTGGCGGTCAGAAAACCGAATTCCCCGGAGGAAAAAAGCTACGCGTATTCAGAGAAAGTATGTTTTTGCGTTTGACTTCGTAACTTAAAATATCGTCTGCATTTAATTATAACATATTTTGGGTCACCCCCTTTCACTACTAAGATTTTGAATATATGATCATTGGACTAAAAGTAATTCAGGGTGGACCATTTTCTATACTGAGCACCATACATATGTATCTTAATATATTGTATTATTCCTTGTACTAGAATTTGTATTGAAATCACATATTATATAATTTATAACTCTTTGCTTAAACAGCCAGAAATTGCCTGTTAACGAAGGAAAAAAACTGTAGCAAGAAGTGTGTTTGAAAATAATTACAAGATTTGAAATAGTTTACACAGTAGATTGAATTTTACTTACAGATGAAGTTGCAATCAGCAAAATAGATTCCACTTTATCTGGTTGCTTCTTATTTGTCGCACAACTTAGCTGAAATATATCCTACAAACATTGTTTAATTTAATAAAAACGATTGCAATTTGAAATTAATTACAAGATTTGAAATAGTTTACTAAGTAGATTAAACTATACTTACAGATGAAGTTGCAATCAGCAAAACAGATCCCACTTTGTCCGGTTGTTCCTTATTTGTCACCCTATTAAGCAGAAAATATCCTACAAAGCTAAATTTCATTCTGTTAGAGAGACAGGATTATTACCAAAAGAATTAAAGGTCTCAAGAAAGCATAAAAAAAAAATTTTAATTAAAAAAAGTCAAAGTTAACGATATTTAAAGCAATGGAAACACAGCACAATCAATATACTTACAAACACATAGAAAAAGAATAGCTAAAAAGCACTTAAAATGAAACACTAATTTACATATGATAAAAACAAAAGAAAACAATTAAAAACAGTATTAAAAAAATCAATCAGACACACTTGAAAAGAAACGAGGAACAAAATTTTTAAAAAGAAACAACAAAAAAATACATACTAAGATCTGAAACCTTACAAAAAAAACAAGAACATTTTTTTTAAATCATTTAAAAAAATTGGTCAAATCATAAAATGAGAAAAACATAAGAATAAAATAATTAAAATTATAAAAATCTTGAAAAAAAGGATAAAAATGGATATACTCAGATTAAATAATGAATAATAAAAAAAGTTAAATCTGTATAAGAATAATATCGCACCGTAAACAAAGATGGATAATATGAAAAATGAAATAAGGCGATGAACAGGAATGGATTTGATCAGATGTACATAAACGAAAATTTTATAAAGCAAAAAAAATTAGAGCCCTCATTGGAAAAAAATGGAAGAGACATGGAACAAAAGTGGTGCACCAATACGAAAAACATCCATTCAAAAATATGAAACAAAAGCACTGAAAAAAAGCCATTGGAAGATAAACGAAAAAAAAAAAAACTCCGAAAAAGGATATACACACATACATAGTAAACAAAAACTCAGATTTAATAATATATATATATATATATATTGCATTAGAAAAAAGAAGATGAAAAGCTGAAACACTGTGAATAAGAGTGGAAAGCATTTGAAAACGGTGGAAAAATATGAAGAAATCAAAATTGGAAATGATAATTACAAAAAAAAAAAAAAAAAAAAAAAAAAAAAAAAAAAAATGAAGCCAAAAATACAAAATTTTGAAAACAAAACGATTTATGCAAAAAGAGAATGGATGCAACGAAAAAAGTGCATAACACGGAGATGGATTTGATCATCCCGAAAATATTACCCTTTGAAAAACACTCTGAAAAAGACACAGGAAAACATTCGAAAAATACAAAATACACTTAAACACGTACATTGGAAGAAATTAATTGAAACACAAACACTGAAGAAAAAAATTTGGAACACAAAAATAAGATGAAAAAATTTGAAACTAATACAGGATAAAAAAAAATCGAAACATAATGCCTGATGAAAAGATAGTAAACACTAACATTAGATGAAGAAATTTAAAAAACGAACACAGTTTGAAAAAAATTCGAAACAGGAACACAGGACAAAAAAAAGTTGGAACACAAACACAGAAAGATAAAAATTGAAGAACAAAGCACAAAAAAATTTCAAATACAAAGATAGGGATGAAAATTTTGAAACATAAACATTGGATGAAAAAATTTGGAACACAAACACGTTGAGCGAAAAATCTGACACACACATTGAAAGAAAAAAAAATTTAAACGCATATTAAAAAATGAAAAGTTGAACACAAATTGTAAAAGGAAATTTGAAACATACAATGTAAATAAAAAAGAAATACAAAATTGGAATAAAAAAGAAAAGTTGAACACAAATTGTAAAAGGAAATTTGAAAAATACAATGTAAATAAAAACGAAATACAAACTTGGAATAAAAAAGCACGCACAGAAGCTGGAAATAAAAAGGGAAATATAAAAAAGAACTGGAAATATAGTGGAAATAAAACACATATTAGATAAAAAAAAAATCATATATTGAAAAAAAATGGAATCTACATAAAAAAGAAAAACTATGAAAAGCCGGAACGCAATAAATAAAACAAAGTCAATTAAACAATAGGAAATGATAAAAAACATTAAAAAAGAAAATGAAATGATATAAATAAAAATAAAAAAACAACACATGCTGGAAATAAAAAAAAATCATATAGAATGAAATAGTATCTACATTTAAAAAAAAGAATAAAAAGTTGTAACGCAATGAATAAAACAGAAGCCAATTAAAAAAAATAACCGAAAACATGAAAACAGATATAAAATAGTGGGATGAATAAATTTGGATCACTAACACATCGTGAAAAAATAAGGATCACAAACAATGGTTGAAAAATATGCGGAACACAAACACTGGGTTAACAAATTAGGAACACTAACACAAGGTGGAAAAACTTGTAACGCCAATACAGAATGAAAAAATTTGGAAAACAAAGACAGAACGAAAAATTTCGCAACAGGAACATAGAACAAAAAATGTACGAACATAAATACTGGATAAAAAAAATTTGGAACATAAACATATGAAGAAAAAGTTTGAAACAAACATACGAAATAAAAATCAAAAGAAAAAAAATTTTAAACTAAAAACTACAATGAAAAAAATTATAATTAGTTAAAAGGAAAAAAAGAGGCGGAAAACGCTTTATGATGAAATAATGATAAAACCGACCGATCGAAATTCGTCGCGCGTGATTTAAAAGCGGGAAAACCTCGAGCGCATGTTGCGAGCCGACGGCAAACCGACGAAGAAAAAAAAAACATTTTAATTAAATTTGTTTTTTCTATTCAAAGAAAAAATGCATTACCTCTTTTCAGTAATAAATGAGTTTACTTCCAGTATTGTACCATGTAAAATAAATAAGTGCCTTACCTTACAAGAGTGAGCTTACCTATTAATGTAGAAAAGTACGCAGCCATTTTGTGATCTTCACGTAAAATATCTCTTCAATATAATTAAAACTTACCTACAATACTCACTAACTCTTCACTGATTTCATTCATGAATGTCAGATGAGTACTTACTGGTAATCCTTTTCTTCAGATTCTAGAAAGAAAAGAAAATTAAACTCAATTCGTAATGGGAAATAGAAAGATTGCACTGCTTTCATACATTAATATTCGTTCCTTTTTCGATCTTTAAGAAAAATAGTTCCTTATTCAGAACATTCTTTATTTAAAAATTAAAGAGAAAAACAATCAGATTGTTTTAAAACATACTGTGGGGAGAGGAGTTATCGACAATGTCAACCTTCATCTACGAAAGGGTACCCCAACATATAATCGAGTTAACATGTCTTATATATTAGCGAATTGTATTTTTGTAGTGATAGACACACTGCAGAACTCCCCCACCAGAATTATAGCTGTGATAGAATTCAATGAATGGATACCACTAGTTGATTTATCGCTGTTTTGTGAAAGGCCGGGAGAGCTGTATTAAGATCACAGTACTTTTGAGCTGATCATGAGAGCTGTATTAAGTTGACTGTAGTGTTCGCTCCTGTTTCGCCTTTAGCAGTCGAGTGTATACGGTGTGAGCGATTGAGACTGAGTAGCAATGGAGAGAGTCATAACTAACAAGTCCAACTGTTCAATGTGAACCATCCATCGAAGAAGGCGTGTTCAGATCGAAGTGGCCGTTACTGTCAAGGTAGGCATGTTCAAATCAAACCCGAAGGTCACCAATGTGGGGAAAGGAGTTACCAACAATGTCAGCCTTCATGTATGTAAAGGTACCCCAACATAGAATTGGGTTTAAATGTCTTATATACTATTGAATTGCTATTGTATTTTTGTAGTGGTAGACACACTTACAATAAGTTGAAAAATGTAGTCTATTGCTATGTATTATCATAGTTGTGAAACTATTCAGTACTTTAGTGTTTTGAGTTGGAACCTTAATACTGAAGTGCAAAATAAAATCTTTAAATAAGCTTCCATTGTCTTAAATTTTAATTGTTAAATATATCCAAAGAAATCAAAGAAATCATTTATCTTCAACTATATTCTCATAGCAGTGCTACCAACATAGTTTAACCAAAGAAAAGAGTACCATCTTGTTGATAAAATATAGAACTGAAGAAAAACATTTACACTGAGTGGCCAAATTATTATGACCACCTCAGAGTTTTATGCAAATGAGTTATTGCGTCACAGCATTGTCGCTAGAGGGCAAGATAACCATAACACGGGAATGCTGGACAAGTGAGTCATCAGTTATACTGGGTTGCTTGCTCAGCTATGGGAAAGAAAAGTGATTTAACTGAATTTCAACGTGGAATGATTGTGGGTGCGAGATGTGTCGGAACGAGTATCAGCAAAACGGCTGCACTCGTGAAGTGTTCTAGAGCAGCA